TACACTTGGCCAATATGAAGGTATCGTGCACAGTTTTCAACAGAATGCATGCTGTTTAGATTTTTTGGTCTTCTTTTGATATCAATGGGCATCTTAACATCTCAAAGAACAAGTAGATATAACTGAATTTCACTGTATCATTATTCCTACTATTCATTCTAGGTATATTATCGTTTTGCATAGTTACATTGGTCCAGCTTGAACCAATGGAACTATGTATATACTGTGACGGGGGCAGCGTCAGACCCCAGTCCTTCTCACCAACTTGTGACCGAAGGACTAGCCAATCTAAAACCACGCTGCCACTTGCGTAACAATACCACTCTCAGCTGCACCCTGCACAAAGATTTGCCAGCTCACTGGACCCCAATCTAGGTGCCAACAGCCTGAGAGCGATTGTTACTGGGTAAGGTTAATTACGCAATTAACCCATCACACTGCCACCACCACCTTTTTTCAGAGAAATAGGAAACTCACAAATCTTAGCAGTAACACTATGATGTTTGAATAAGCGTTTGTATATACCCTGTCACTGCAGACAGATGTATCCAGAGGTTTTAAAACACACAGTAGCACTCTTCAGAGACAGGGATTCTTAGTTTGCAGTAAAGAGCTTTAGAAACAATTCAACACTTTTCAGAAAATAGGATTTATTACTAAAAAGGTCAAAATGGTGCAATAAAAAATTTTACAGAAAAGATGTAACCACTATAGATATATAAATAGAGAGCAATAGCACAACAGAGAGATAAAGAAAGAAGCTTAACAAGGTAGAATACTTGCAGAAGTCCTGGTTTAAGCAGAGTCCAAGTGTCCTGAACAAGAGGGTGCCTTTTCTCCCAAATTTGGTTCCTGATGTTAAAAGGGAGAATCGCTTCATCTTCTCTCTCCAGGCATGACCGCCTGTTTTCTAGGAACCCAGCAGGGTGTCTCCTTAAAGCAGAGAACCAATCGCCTGTTTAGGCTTGTTTAGGCAGAGACCCAGGCTGTGACCCAAATCCCTCGCAAGTTTATACCATCGTCAATAACCTTCCATAGGTGCATGCAGCAGCCTAGCCATTGGCAGGTTAATATGCAGAATGATATTCTGAACGTCCAGACATCAAATATGACATAGCTGGCTGTGACGGTTAAAGAGATATCGCTTTCTACTCTCTGGTAGACGTTATTTAGAGGTATAAGGTATCAGGTGACTTGCATTAAACTGACCTATCTGAATATATGCTTTGTTTTATTGCACCTTGTTCTTGCCAGGATTTATGAAATTGTATGAAAAAGTGGTTTCAAGTGGGATGTATGTTTTACTGCCCCTCTGGAATGCTTTCATGTCCAGTGACTGACTGGTTTATAGCTTTACGACCAGGCCCAAGGCAAGAGCCTGACAGACATACTGGAACCAGATAATTGAGTTTACAACCATGAAAGCATATCCAGCTGTGCCCTGTGCACTCCTGAACTCAGCACACACACAGACCACATGCCATTCAAAAAAAGGGAGGGGGAAGACTGATTTGGAGTAAGAATGACATTTGCAGAGTATGACCTAAATTATGGTTATCATTGTCCATATCTGTCCGCACAATTATCACATATACCATACCTGGCCGATTCCCCAGCAAGCTGGAAATCACTGAAGAAGACATTACTACACCAATGATCTCCACTTGCTTCCAGGTCCTATGCTGAGCAGCTGGCCTGATGTATTGGGAACACAGGAGGTAAGCTGCTCAGCACACCATTGTACCGTATAAAACTATATCATGCCTGGAATTGTTCTTTAATGAATTGATGAGAATAAATGTGTTATCTACATTTGTGAGTAAACAATCACATTATAGACACTTTCCTCTACAAAAATGTTTTATCAACAAAATTTAAAGTGAAAATTATACTGCTTTTCTTTGACATCTGTAAATATTAGGATTTATTAGGTATATGTTACATACCTAATGGTCTTGTAATAGGTAACACCATGTACATTTTATGTATTGTAATTGCAGGAATCAGACAATTGGCCTTTAAGGACACTCATCTTTAAAACATTTAAAGAGTGATATACTGTAACCTTTGCTACAGCCAATAAATTTCTAAATATGGATAACATTACCACTGTAATGGTTTCTTGACATAAGACAAACTGCTTTTCAGGAACAGGCCCCTTAAAGAGTCTTTGACTTGTCAAATACCATAATATTAGCTGGTAAATTTCATGATTTAATGACACTTTCTCTGAACATTTGGATTGTTAGCTTCATTAACTGAACTTAAAAAGTCCTTTCTGTCTATGTCTCTTTTTATGATACTATGTAGACCAAACTTATCAGACCTGCAGTGGATGATTCACATGTGGCTTTTAAATTCTCTTGCTGTAGCATGCTGGGCCATAGTCAGAGCTACAGAGGTTGTCAATCTTGCTGCCTTGGATCAGTGAGATTCATCAATATTAGTCTTGTCTTACACACTTCTGTGACACAATGTATTACTACCTTTTTTAGAAGTTGGCCACTGTAGGGCACAGAATAGGCTACAGGGGGTTAAAGCAAATGAGAACTGGCCAAAACAAATTAAAGCAGATGTTCACACTCGACATAAACATCCCCCCTCTCCACCCCTCCTTCCTTCCCCTACATGAATAGCACAGCTTTTTTTAATTTACTTTTTTTTTTAAAGAAACCATGTGGCCTTGCCCCTCCATGCACATCATTTTCCTAGGTGAATGACATACACAGTGCTTGCTGGGCCTCCTGGGATATCCATGTTACATATTCCAAGAGCCCTTAGTCTTTCATTCAGTAAGTAGGAGGATAGCAGGCCTAGTGGCACTTCATCGCAGGGCCCCGCCAGCTGAACCTCAAAGAGCCGGTGGGCCTCTTGATGACGTCACAAGTAAGATGGTGGTGCGGGACAGAGCAGTGTCTGTTGACAGAAGGATGTCAGTGGGACAATGCTGGTTCACTGGGTGGGTGAGTATCCAATCTGTACAGACAACATCACCCGATAAGCAAGGATATAGAAAAAAAATGGAGGGGGAGTAGGGTGATAGTCTTATAGGTATTTAGTTATGATATAGATTGAAGTGCAGCTCTAAACATTAAATACAGTCATAAAGTGCTATGATGAAAAATGTGAACACCTGATTATGGTAAACCATGTGACAAAATATATTGCACATATAACCATTCACATGTTAAACAAATATGAAAAAAAATGTCCGTGGTACTCCTTTGACGTCAGCACGTAGGCTCCACCCAGCGCGTTTCGTGCGCATGCATGTCATCAGGGTACGCCCACTAGTGTGTCTATGGGATCAGCTTAAATGCTACTATACCAGTAGCGTTCAGCTGAGTGTATATCCATAAGAGGTGGTGGATTCTCACATTGGATTATGAGCACCTTTCTGAATATCTCACACTGGTATTGCTGTACCTTGTACAACGGATTCCTTCACTGGATGATGAGCACTATTATATTAATCACATTGGTATTGCTGTGACTTGTAGTACCACGGGCATTTTTTTTATATTTTTTTTAACATGTGAATGGTTATATATGCAATATATTTTGTCACATTGTTTTTCATAATTTGGTGTTCACATTTTTTTTACCATAACACTTTATGACGGAATTTAATGTTTAGCGCTGCACGTCCATCTATATCAGTCCATGTGGGTTTTGTTGTCTTTGCCCTTTTTTGCCACATATTTTGCATTTTATTTCAGGTTTATAGTTATAGCCTGAGCAGGGGCGGACTGACAACTCATGGGGCCCCCGGGCAATAGGGGATTATGGGGCCCCTGTGTCCTTGCCCAAACTCAAAAAAGCCTATGAAAAAGGTACCAGGGGCATCTTATGGGCCCCCTACTGACCCCGGGCCCTCGGGCAGTGCCCGAGTTTCCAAATGGTCAGTCAACCCCTGAGCCTGAGCCTTGTGGTTTAGCATGACATCAATACCAACAAAGTATATACTCAATGCAGAGTCTTTATATTATCACACACAGAGATTTATGAACGTTCCTGTCATCTCTGTGTGCTGAGTGAGACCATCTCCATGTTCTTGGTTCCTGCATTTTGGTCTCTGATTGTGACTCCCATACTCAAAGCCATTTGATCAGCGATAGCAGCAAATTCCACGTGTGGTGTTAAAATTGGTGACCACTAGAGTTATACACAGTTCATGTGTGGAAGCTGGCTGTGTCATGTGCACATATTTGTACATGCTTACCGCAAATCTATTTGTTTCAGCCATATTATTCAAAATATTGTCTATAGAACTCATACAAAAGCAGTCATGTGTAGCACACAGCTGTGAACTTTTTGATGCTGATTCAGTTTTGTGCACAACATACAGTGGCTATGAATCTCACTGGTTGTGGTCTGAACTTTGCATCTGGCTGTTTATATAACAATTAAGTAGGAGCGGACTAATAACTCATGGGGTCCCCGGCAATAGGGGATCATAGGGCCCCTGTGTCCTTGCCCAAACTAAAAAAAGCCTATGAAAAAGGTACCAGGGGCATCTCATGGGGCCCCCTACTGACCCCGGGTCCTCGGGCAGTGCCCAAGTTTCCAAATGGTCAGTCCGCCCTGCAATTAAGTATGCACTTTATACAGCTGTGAACTCTATCAACCACAGATTTCTTATTCATTACCTATATAGCAACTGCTAGTTGAGAAGTTTTTATTATTAGCCATTGCTTATGGTAAAGACTACAAAAGACATGTCTGGCCATTGGCACAGACAGCAATCTATATCTGCAGATGACCGTTGTTGCTGACGAGACACGTGCAGTTCGTTTTGTTCCGAATCTAATTTCAGACTAATTTTTTCTCCATTTGTATATTCAGATGTATCAGAATTCCGAATTACAAAAATAACGAATTTAAACGAATCAGAAATAACTAAACAAAATTCAATCGAAAACAAATTCGAATTCAAATACAAAATCAAAAAAAAATTGAAAACAAATTAGAAAACAAAATCGAACAAGCATTCGAAAACCACCGTAGCCTCCCTGGCGGTATTCCCGAGTGTAGCTCGGGGTAAAGTTTCAGTACCACAAGCGGTAACCCCGAGCTACACTTGGGCTTACCATGTGGCGCTGCTCCGGGATCCTTCGATCACTTACCTTGTCCTGCGCTCCCGTGATGTCCTTCCTGCAGTGTCCCCTGTAATGTCCTCCGGCGGATGCTGGTATGTGTCATCTGGGTTACGTCCCCTGCGAGCGTCGGGACGTACGGGGACAGAACTGGAGGGAAATTTGAAAATGACAAAAAGTGACATTCACTAAATACAATAAAATCACATAGTAAAACATTACTGTACCAAACCATTTCACATACATTTTGTCCCTAGTGCTTTGTCCTGTGCTCTGCCTGCATTTTTACCGTTCTTTCTGCCTAGAAATTGAGAAACGTCCCTGGCATCCAAAAAGCGTCCCTTTAGGTCAAAATCGATTTTAGACCAGCTAGAGAACAGCGATAGTAAATTAGAACTACCGTATTTGCCGGCGTATAAGACGACTGGGCGTATAAGACGACCCCCTACTTTTCCTGTTAAAATATAGGGTTTGAACTATACTCGCCGTATAAGACTACCCCTCTTCCAACGCACACCAAATAAAAATGAAAAAAACATCAGACTTGATTTCAATATGGTATGGTATTTCAGTATGGTATTCCAATGATGGGGTGCTATTCCTCCCACTGACACCAATGATGGGGCATGATTCCTCCCACTGATACCAATGATGAGGCACTACTCCTCCCACTGACACTAATGATGGGACACTATTTCATCCACTGACACCAATGATGGGGCACTATTCCTCCCACTGATACCAATGATGGGACACTATTCCTCCCACTGACACCAATGATGGTGCCCCATCATTAGTGTCAGTGTGTGAGGAATAGTGTCCCATCATTAGTGTCAGTGGGAGGAATAGTGTCCCCATCATTAGTCAGTGGGAGTAATAGTGCCCCATCATTGGTGTCAGTGGGAAGAATCGTGCCCCATCATTGGTGTCAGTGGGAGGAATAGTGTCCCATCATTAGTGTCAGTGGGAGGAATAGTGCTCCATCATTAGTGTCAGTGGGAGGAATAGCACCCCATCATTGGTGTCAGTGGGAGGAATAGCACCCCATCATTGGTATCAGTGGCAGGAATTGCGCCCCATCATTGGTGTCAGTGGGAGGAATAGTGCCCAATCATTGGTATCAGTGGAAGGAATAGTGCCCCATCATTGGTGTCAGTGGGGAGGAGGAATAGTGCCCCATCGTTGGTGTCAGTGGGGGAGGAATAGTGCCTCATACTGTTGGTGTCAGTGTGGAGGAGGAATAGTGCCCCATCGTTAGTGTCAGTGGGGGAGAGGAGCGGCTGCTCCTTCTTTCAGTTTGGCCGCTTGATTTTCGCGGGGCCGTTCGGCTCCGCCTCCTCGCCGGTGATTGGTCGCCTGTGTGCCTTTTCAGTGCTTGTGCCCAATCACCGGTGAGGAGGCGGAGCCGAGCGGGCGGCAGGACCATCGAGCGGCCGAACTGAAAGAAGGAGCAGCCGCGCTTCCTGGACCGGATCGTCGTGGGACCGGAGCCAGGTAAGGTACAGCAGCCCCTCTGCCCACCCCTGTACTTGGTGTCTGTTGGAGGAGGAGGGGGGGGTGGCGCCGCCGCTCGAAAAAGTGCTGCCCTGACACCGGCTCGCCGCATACCGGCGTATAAGACGACCCCCGACTTTTCAAAAGATTTTCACGGGTTGAAAAGTCGTCTTATACGCCGGCAAATACGGTACTTGCATAATTGAGTGATAATGATTTGCAACTAAGCTCAGTGATGTGCGAACTTGGCGCTATATTTCAAATTTCAGTGTTTTTGGTTTGATTATATTATTGAATTAAATGTATTATTATAATATTATTTTTTTATGATTATTTATTAAATTATAATTTATGATTTCGTGTTTCAAATTTTAACATACCCGGGATGTTTACTAGACTCTTGTTCGGACAGATTTCAGTGAGTTATTACTAAAAATTACAGGCCTACAATAAAAAAAATACATATTTCCATGCAAAAAAATGTACCACTTTGAGCACAGAAATATGGACATAATCAGACCGCTAGGGAGGTTAAAGCAGAGCTTCACCCAAAATTTCCGCTTTAAGGACTGGTCCCCTGCTCCTCGTTAAGGATTGGCACCTTTGGGGAGCAGGGGGAGTCAGGTACCCGAAATTGACAGGTACCCGCTCCCACTTCCTCTGTGATTGCCTAGGCGATTGGAAGCAGAATTTGTCCTCCCCCTTCCCTCCCCGTAGTCTTCTGGGACACATGACAGGTCCCAGAAGACTACGGGACCATTCACAAAGCACAGTCACATGCCCACACTGAAGATGCCACCACCGGGAACACAGGGTGGCCGGTGAAATGGAGGGGGGAGACATCGTGTCCATTTTTTAAAAGTCAGCAGCTACAGTTTTTGTAGCTGTTGACTTTTTTTTATTATTTTCAAATCTACACATGTATGGCCAGCTTAAGTTTTCAAATTCGGCCAAATTTTTTTAATTTCGGTTGAAATCTTTTTGATTTCGAACAACTTTTCAAATTTTGTTGAATCAGTTTTCGAATTCGGTTGCAGCAGTTTCGAATGTGAACGACTTTTCGAATTTGGTCAAAATGTTTATGAATTGACTTCGAATACGAATTACCTAAACGAATCTCAAAAACTAATTGATCGAATTTACCGAATAAAACTACATGAAATTTGTTCAGCTTTGAACAGAAACGAAACACATTTTTTTTGTTTTTCACATGTCTATTGCCGACCATTTATCTGACACATGAGGTGACTTTGGAATATGTTCAATGTGCTTTTGGGCAGAAAACATTGTTGCATTATACCTACCTGGATTATTATTTTGGTATGGGTATTCTCTTTTGTTATGTTGTGAACATTTTGAACTACACTCACTGGCCACTTTATTAGGTACACCAGTTCAATTGCTTGGTAACACAATTGCCAATCAGCCAATCACATGGTAGCGATTCAATGCATTTAGACATGTAGATGTGGTGAAGACGACTTGCTGAAGTTCAAACAAAGCATCAGAATTGGGAAGAAAGGGGATTTAAGTGACTTTGAAAATGGCATGGTTTTGGTGCTGGACAAGCTGGTCTGAGTATTTCAAAAACTGCTGATCTACTGGGATTTTTATTTACAACCATCTTTAGGGTTTGCACAGAATAGTCCAAAAAAGAAATTATCCAGTGAGTTGCATGGACAAATATGCCTTGTTGAGGTCAGAGGAGAATGGGCAGACTGGCTGCTGTGACATTCAGATGGTAGAGTCAGAATTTGGCATGAACAACATGAAAGCATGGATCCATCCTGCCTTGTATCAATGGTTCAGGCTGGAGATGGTGGTGTAATGGTGTGGGGGATATTTTCTTAGTACTAACAAGGTGTACCTAATAAAGTGGCTGGTGAGTGTATTTTGCAGGCTTTCACTAGAGCAGCAGTACATACATAATATTTTTAGTATTTTGTTACTTGTTTATAATGGATTTTAATTGACAAATAGACATATGCAGGCTGAAAATTTTCATTCATTGAAGAATTTCATTTCATGATATTCGTTATGTTGACCTGATTGGTTTTGTATCTTTGGCATTCATTTCGTATATATTCATTGTTCCAGGTGGATAAAAAAAAGTGTTTCTGGAAGATTGCTATATATTTAATATATTATTGAATCAGAAGGATTTGAACTGGAAGGATTCAATATTTCTGGATGCTAGTCCGACTGACCAAGAGAAATGCATGAGCTGCTTGCACAATATCGACTGGCGTCATGTGCATCCGAATGAACAAATGAAATGAAATTCAGATCCATCCATTATGTGAATCCAAATTATTGAACAAATTTAAAAAATGAATTAATTTCCCAGTGGGCCTGAACCAGGGGCGGACTGACTATTTGGAAACTTGGGCACTGCCCGAGGGCCCGGTGTCAGTAGGGGGCCCCATGAGATGCCCCTGGTACCTTTTTCATAGGCTTTTTTGAGTTTGGGCAAGGACACAGGGGCCCCATGATCCCCTATTGCCCGGGGGCCCCATGAGTTGTCAGTCCGCCCCTGGCCTGAACTACTACTGCATCATGTGATGTCATCCAAATGAAACCAATGCATTAGTTATAACTTTTTTTCGGATTAGTTGACATTCATTACAATGTCCATTTGGAGATTCATATAAATCTGAATCTTAGAAAATGAAATTTGTGTGACAAAAAATAAACAAACTGAAACAAAACAAAATGCACCTGTTTAGTGATACATATAAAATGATATTTTATATGTCTTGCTGCTATGGTCTCATACCCTTTTACACCTGTTGCTTGCTGCTAATAGCTGTTCTGTTCCAATGTAGCTCACAAGTTAAAAGAAAAGTGTTTGAGACCTTTGCTTTAAATCAGACTGGGTAGAGAGCTCCATATCCTCCCACTGTTAATATAACCTGCTTTTATTTCCTTACATTATGATGTTTCCTCATTTGTAACTTGAACTGTATGCACTGAATTTGTACACTTTATGATACAATGTACACACATGCATGTATACCTTCACATATAGTTGGCTATGCGTGTTTTTTAAAGAGTTCAGGTTGGCATTTTGCCATGGGAAGCAGTACAATACATGACTAGTTTTCCACTTGAAGACTGCTACTTTCAGGAGAGGAGAGCTATGCATCCTTGTTTAAACAAACATGGAACCATTATAATGTAGTATGGGAATTGATTTGTGGCTGTTAAAGCTAAATGTGCCATTTTCCAAATTAAAGTTTGTTGTTCTGCTGACCTGCCCATTATTCACACAGTCACTGTCTGCACTTTTCTTGAATTTGTTATGCAGAGTAACTTTTTCTCATCTGCAGAACTAATTTTACCTTGTATTAACATTAAAGCCAGGAATTAGTTAAGATTTTCCCTCTGTAAAATGAAATCATTGCAGGTGAAATAAAAACTATAATGAAGTGTCAAAGCCTTTACTTGCTCATTAAAGTTATATTTTACCTTTCAAGTGCGTTGTCTATTCATCAATACTGAGTGGTGCAAACAACTTGGGATTTGTACAAATATTATATCTGATTATTGTACAATACCATCCAAAGGATCAGTGATAGTATTTTGTTCTTAAAGCAAATATTTTTTTCATTTATTGCAGTTTACCAATCATTATTTTTTTATATGGAACAGGTGCCATTCAGAGAACACTTTGCATTTTCTCAATGAATGCAAAGCGCTTTCTGATTGGACCAGGTGGAGATCATGACATCATTGCCGCTGCATTTTTAATC